GTCTCTCTTGTCCAACTTCTAAATCCAGTTCATTGATAGGAAACTGGAACCAATCTAAAAACCAAGCCAAACCAAATAAGGCAAAAACCCTACCACAAACCAGATGGTCAACAATTCCCACATTAACTTACATGTATATCTTATATCCAAGCAGTAAAATATTGACCTGATCTTTAGATAGTTATATATTCTTTATTGCTTGTCATTTGTTTCCCTAATTTTACCATTTTTTTTTTTGAAAATCATCCAATCATGTTAGGACTTGAGTCCCTATTCTATAGACCGAGGACTTGATCAAATTTACCATCGCATCGAGATTTGCACAGAAAATGCAGGTTATTCCCCTTCTGATGAGAACTCTCAGTTTCCCATGTTTTCTCCACCCCTTCCAGCCTTCAGAACAGAGAGCAGGCATTGCAGGCACAGAGATTATACCAATGGTTATCTTAGACTACAAAACGCTCCAGATGTTACCCGAAATTTGAGACAGAACATGATAGCCTATGTTTTAGACAACCGGTGGTTAACCATGCTGCTACAGTTATTCTTCACTCCAAATACTGTCTCATATGTTTCACCAAATTGTCTAAATCCTAGTGTGGTATTGATTTCTCCTCCTACGAACACACACCCATCCAATAAGCTACAAGAAGCTCTTGTCCTCACTGAATTCTTCTCAAGCAGGACCTGGGCCTGTTGCTCCTGATGGAAGTTCCAGGCAGGTGCTGATTGCTATCTCATAGGAGGCAAACTGCTGGAGACAGAGGAAATCTCATTTTGGAGAGAGAAATGCGACACAGGAAGATGCTTGTGAGGGCACATGAAAAAGCAGGTTACCAGGAATACGGATGTCAGGATCTTACGGAAATATATAAAACTCAAGCGCTGTTGAGCCTCCTTCCTATGCAATACATGTCTACAGGAAGAGATGCATATACGCTTACAGGAAAAGAGAAGAAATCTGGAAGGCTGTGTAGTTGTGAATAATGATTATTTCTAAATAGCACAGTATTGGTTGGCCTTCTCCCCTCCCCCTCTTCTGCATATTCTGAAGTTTTCATAATGACTATAAATTAATTTTATAATTATAAAAGCTGTTATAGCAACAAGGAAGGATGAGTAGAGTTACGATTTTATGACAACTCATGGAAAATTATTCTGTCTTCAAAATAGGAGATTTTTAAAGTTCCTCCAGGATTTCTGGGAGAAACTGCCTTTCTGTTTACTAAGCATTCGGAAGGCATGGCATTGAGATTTATGAAAAGAAGATAGGACTTGTAATCCCAAGATGCAGAATCATTAAGAGCAACGAAAAAGCAAAGGCAGACCTACAGAGCGAAGACACAGCATCCAAACAGCGTGCAGGGAGGGTCTATGCTCCCATGTTGTCACAAGCTTTCAGGAGAAGAGAAATGACTGCCTGGCAGATGGTGAAGGGCAGTCTCTTCCAGAATATTCTGATTCACCTCCCCAAAAAGGCACTCAGGAAAACCAGGGCTTTTAAAAGCCAGAGTACCTATTTACTTCCTGATGCTTGACTTAAGATTTCTCTAAAGGAAATAATATATTTACTAAACTATGAGTAAATGTGCACACATATAAAATATTTATTTGGGTTTGCTGTCAAGTTAACAGATTGCTGCCACCCCTCCCCATTATCTTGAGACTGATTCAAGACAAGACATTCAGAGGGTTGGCAGCTCAGGGAAACAGAATTCCTATCATGACACAGTGTCACTGCCTTGAAATGGTTTTACTCACTTACTTCCTTCTATTATAATGCCAAGTGTTATTTAGATTTCAGTCATTTAGTAATGCTACACTGCACACATCAGGGCATCAGAAAAATTCCTCATATACAACTCCTTTCATTTCGGTAATAACCATATATTGATACCCATTTTCCAGCCAAATTTCACCAGTATGTAGGAAGGAATCTGAGCTTCATCAGAATTTAGAAGATTACCAGGCAGTGAACAAGAGCCTCCAAAAATGTTCCCTCACGTTATTAAGCATTAAGAAATCTTGTTAAAATTCTTTCAGCTTTTGAGAAACATAAGCAGCTTTGGGATGTAGCACTTGACATGCACTTTTAAAGTAATTCCCGTCCAGCTATCATCTGTATTAGTGAAAATATTTCATTCTAGGTAGCGCTCTGTGCTGCTGTGCAGGATTTGAGCAGCCAATCTAAATGTGTTTTCATGCCAAAATGGAAAATAACCAAATTCTATAGAGCTGTAGGGCTAAGATGGATTGGCATTCCCTAACGGTGGGAACCATACTCGCCATTTAGGGAAGGAGTCCTTTCTTGGGGGAACAGAGCTGATGGACACTAATTGATAAATGGTGGGGGAAAGCACAGTTTCATGTGTGCTGGCGAGAATGGTTGCAGGAAGGCTAAGTCACTGCCTTTCAATCAGTTGTTGATATAAACGATAGAGTAGGTCAGAAGCAGAGAATCATGGGGACAGGTATAGCTGTGTCCTCTAGTTGTCTAGAATGAATAACAAGCAAGAACAGAGGTCTAGTGTGCCAAGAGCTTTTCCAGGCCTCTTAGTGCTCTCCCGAAAGCATGGGATATAGCAAAATTCTTTCCTTAGAATAGTTATCTGGGTTTGCTGTGTGCCCTAGCGGAACCAGTTTAAAGGCTGTCCTTTTCTTTTTCTCCCAAAGTCCCTTCCAGGAAACATCACCCTAACTACCTGTTTGGGGAAACATCAAACTCCATGTGAGTGGATGCAGTGACCTGGCTTCCAGTGGTTTCTAATTTAACCTATGGTTGCACTAACAGCTCATTATCTGAGCCAAAAGGTGACAGTTCTCTTTGAAATGATCATCAAACATCTAAGGGGCCCTATTCAGTTCTTAGATGCATGTATATTGTTAGAGGGTCATCAACAAGCTACAGTCCAGTCAAGCTAGAATGGTGTGAGCCGTGAGGTTCTTAGGAACACACCAGGGGAAGGGTAAGTGGCTGCGGAGCCTGCAGTATAACCCTGAAGCAGCAGATTTCATATGGTATAGTTGAGTGTCTACAATAAGGAGTAGGGCATGATCTGAAGCATGGTCTAAGAGCATGTGAAGATGCAGTGAAGGAGACATGGGCTTCAAACAGGACTAACTCTCCATGGAACCGCTCAGCAACAGAGGGGAACAGCTTCACTAGCTCACAAACTCGACACCAGGAGATAACAAAGGCACCTTCTGGTGATGCTGTTGATGCTGAAATTTGTACTGAAGGAACTGAGAAGAATTTGAAGTTCATCTTAGTGACTCACAGAGACAGAATCCTCTTTCCCAAGACCTTTTACACAACAGCCTTTACATTTAAATTTGTTTATACCCAGTCATGAGGAGTCAAGCTTCTCTGATCCATATTTAGAACAAGTGAACACAAAGCCCTTCTCATATGCTGCTTCTCATACACCCACAGCTAGGAATGTTCTAACAATGGAAAGGCGGTGTCAATTATCTAACTGACGCATCCATTCAGTAAAGACAGTGAGCTAAGGTATAAAGAATATATGGCTTCCCCCAGAAAGTTGTTTTCATTTTGAAGGGTAAAGAATGGTCTTAAACATTTTTTTTTCTCATGTGTGAAGCTAAGCGGAGGATGCCCACCAGCACTATAAGTAATGAGCACCCTTCTCTGGTGTGTGTGTGTGTGTGTGTGTGTGTGTGTGTGTGTGTGTGTGTGTGTGTAGGAAAACATTAATCTGGTCCTATATGGAGTCAAAATATTTCCAAAAGAGGTGTTATTTTTCCCCCTGTGAATACACATATCGTGATTAGTTCTAGGCAGCACAAATTATTTTCTTGAAATATGTAGTTATTTTAATATTAATCTCAAGGCAGGGTGTTTCATTTTGCTCTCTAACACAAAGCTTTTGTGTTGCAAATTCTGTTTTAAAACCACAGATCAAGTAGTTTTAAACACAGGCATCTTTGAAGAGTGCAAAATAACTTCTCAAGTAAGCAAATAAAACTTTGCACTTGAAATCAGGCCTTGATTCATTAAAAATCTTAAACTTCTCATGAGAAAAATTAACATTTAAACCACTGCTGCTTGGCCAAGCACTCCGCCACACAAGAATATGAAATATCTCCTCTAAAAAAGTACAAAAAGGACAAAACCACAAATGTGGAACTTCAATTAATTTAAAGCCCCAATCAGCAAAGAATAAATCCTTCGCAGATCTAATTACCAGCGCTCTCGGAAGACCCGGGCCGACCAGCCAATCTTCCCCGTGTTTGAACAGCTTGATGAACTAGGGGACTGATGGATATCAAGTCATTTTGTTTAATTTATAAATGGATTTTCCCCTAATACTTAAATTATCATCAGTACAACACAATGAAAATGGGAACAGTCTGAATGCAAAGTCTATAAGAATCCTGGAAGGAATCCCAATGAGGAATGTCACCTCTGTTCATTCCTCTATACAATTGATCTAATTAAATACTGAGGGTGGAAAGGCACTTTAAAATGTAGCCATTTCTGTTTTCTTTTTAGCCTTAATTTATCTGTTCACATCTTTCAAGTACCTTCTGATGCTTAAATAAATAAATAAATAAATGAGACCAAGATTTCTGCAAAACCTAACACTTTTAATTCTCTACTAGCTAATATTCAAGATGCCTCTGCCAGAGGGTAGATTTTGCTGAATAATAAATAAATGTGTAAGAATAAAGGGGAGAGGGTGTTCCAAACCAGCAGATCCTTCTCTAGTCATTTGAAAGAGAAACCAGGGGCGCTCAGACCTTCTAGATGTATTGTTCAACTGAAATGAGATCTCTGGATTACACTTATTAAAATGTCTCCTTATTTTCAAATCTCTTCCTTATTTAATTACTGCATGGGGCTGAAGGCTGCATGGAATTGTTAAATACCCTTCTCCCTATTTATAGTCTCGCCACACGGGTACCCTGAGCACACTCATTCAGCGAAGGTCCTGCCCACCAACCACCAATTGCAAACACATTGGGTTTGCAATTCCCACCTGGCTCAGGGGTCTCTGACTGAGATGAGGAAGATGCTGAACTGGCTGCGTCCTCAGCGGAGCCCTGCGACAGGAGGCCCCTCCCAGGCGGGAGCTTCATGCCCAGCTGCTCAGCCATCTCCACGTGATCCCCGGGGTGGACATAGTCAAAGACACTGCTTCCTGTCAGCTCCACCTAGAGAGGAAGAGAAGTGGGGAGAGATGTGTCATAGGCTTTTCCTTGTTCAATGTAGCAGCACAGACACACAAATTCTGAGACGAAAGGAAACACACTTGGGCCCCAGAAGCAATTTTGATTCCAAATCTCCATCATCAGTTACCTTAGGATTCTTGGAAGGAAAAGAGTGTTTTTGTTTGTTTGTTTTCGTTTTTTTGTTTTTTTTAAACATGTATTTATTTAGCAATTGTTTAGCCCAGTTTCCCCCTCATACAGTGTTGTTTGCATAGAGCCAAAACGTTCTGTGAAATGTGGACAAGTCTGCCTTGCGTTCAGCTGTTTTATCCACGCATCATCAAATACTTGTATGTTTGGTGTCAACTGGATGATTGACTGAGTCCTACAGTTTTCATGCTGAGAAGTTTGTGCTTTGTATAAAAACCATTTCAGAAACAGCTAGAGATAGCAGGCGAGGCTTTCTTTTAAATACACAGATTTCTAAGATTCAAAAAAATACCCTCTTATTTCTATGTAAATTTAAATGTACAAAGTGCCACTTCCAAATATATGCAAAGGCATAATGTTTTCATTAAATATCACTCATTAGCTCTGTAATCATATGGAGAATTTTCCATGCAAAAGAGGTCAGCTGGGGTCTGAAGCAGACATTTTTTTTTTCTGCTGGTATCAGCTTGTTTTGCCTTCAATCTAATAAAATACACGGTACAAAGCTCCTTGAGGGCTTTAAAAAGTGTTTTTATTTTGTGTACTCTTTGAACGAGGCTGCCTCCAAGTGCAGCAGATGAATATGAAGTATCAGAAGAGAGAGGACTGAATATTTCAGTGCTGTCAGACATGGCCTATGAGTCTGGGTCACCTGCTTGGGGTGCGGGTAGAAGCTGCCGCCAAGGGCTGGCTTTACCTTTCAGCCCTGAGTACTCACACTTTTATCTCTTTATGAGGCCAGCTGTAATGCTCCTAACAGGATGTCCTTGCATTGTAGGTATTACGGCAGGGGTAGACATGCCAGCAGCAGGACAAGAGAAAGCTCTCCTTGGGTCACTAATGGGTTTCTCTGTCCTTTGCAGTGACATGGGCTCAGGCCAGCTATATATGCCATGAAAGTTTGCAAAGCATCTAGTGTCTTGGTGTGTACTCACAGAAACCAATTCCTACCTCATTTCTCTTTCCTGTGTGGTACCCAGCATCTCTCTGTACTCTACCAAATTTCCTCTGCCAGGAAGGAAGGGAGACTAAATGGTCCCAGAGAATGGAATACACATATCTATTATCCGTAGCACTCCAAGTCCCTGTAAGACGATCACATCTACTCCCAGACACCCTTTGATTAAAGTCTTAACAGGCTACACATCTTCAACATCTATCAATTAGCAGAGGCATAACCAGGGAAAGAGAAGGCAAAATTCAGTATGGGTAATAGCTCTTCCAGAAAAAGGCTCGTCCAACTTTTCCCGAAAATGAGGTACTTTCTGCAGCTATTAAATCATCCATTCCTGCTGTATTACCTGCCTACTGACTATATCATCTTACAATACCCATTTCTTCCACTTGCTATTGTGACAGACAGCACATTGGGATTCACGGTGATCAGCTTCTACCCTCTGGGAGGGGGGGATTACATGCAAATAATCTCTTTAATGTGCGCCTTGCCTCTAAGCACTTCACACAGCAATAAATGGGTAAACTGACTTTGAGCAATTAAGAAATTAAATGAAACTAATAAAATGTGTGTTTTAATATTTCTTGATGGTTATTTTGTTTGGGGATTAGTGGATATGAGGAAGTCATTCACGACACATGGAGTCCAATCACAGCACTTCGAGTCTTCTCACATTTCATTGTTTTTCTGTAATCTTTCTGTGGACCTTCATACATATACACCACACACTGTGAAAAATGAAAATATCTCATCTTTTTAGGGTGCTGGTTATTGAATATTCCTGTAAATCAGCTCTACAGAGAAGTAGCCAAGGTCTCTACAGTTTGCTTTGCCTAGAGATCCTTCCTTCCCAGGAAGCTGTGCTCTGAAATAATAAGCAAGGTTAAGTCATAGCAATGGCACATTGCATCCAGGAAGCTGTGTTCTGATATATGGAGCAAGGTTAAACCACAGCATTCCATATTGTATACAGCAGCAAGAATGGCCTTCAGTGCCCTCATGGAGGCATATGCTGAAAACCCAATGCTGGTGCTGGAGAAATGTCTCAGCAATGAAGGGCAAGCCTTCTCTTGAAGAAGGCTTGAGTTCAAAACCCAGCACCTTCATAGGGAAACTCACAATGACTTATGACTGCACTTCCAGGGGGATCTGATGTTCTCTTCTGGCCTCTGTGGTTATTACACCCACATGCACAGATCTATACTCTTACATTATACATATCACACACACACACACACACACACACACACACACACACACGATTAAAAGTGAAATCCCAAACAGTAAAACTTAAAATTGATGGAGGAGTTGGCACTGAGGACATGCCACTGCCATAACCTTCAGGTATCTACTGCAGTTGAGGCCATAGGTACAGTGGGAGATACAGGCTATTTGGAAGTATAACCTGAATGTGAGATCAGAAGGTTCCCCTGCCCAGCTGTGTGGCCTTGGACAATTCCTGGAACCTGCCTGGACTCCAGTCTTCTGTTGCAAAGCTGGTAACTAGCTGCTGTGAGGGACTTTGGGGCATCTCTCACAGAGCAGTCCATGTGGATGGCACCCATGCAGTGTTCCTTCTTGGGAGAGGAGATAAGTCTTGGCTTACTTCCCTACAGCTCTGATTTGAATGTCCAGTGAAGCCATGCGGGGGATCACTATGTAAGAAAAATAAGCATCTCTAAATGCCTACTCCTGGGTAGCTAGATGGCTGAGTAGGTAGAAGCACTTGCTGCCAAGCCTGACTATCTAAAATCACATAGTGGAAGAGAAGAACGAATCTCTACCAGTTGTTATCTGTATGTCATGGTATGAAAGTGCACAGACAGAAAGACAGATATGTGTATGCACAAACACACACAGAGTAAATGTAGCAAAAAAAAAAAAAAAAAAAAAAAAAAAAAAAAAAAAAAAAAAAAAAAGAAAAAGAAAAAAGAAAAATGCCCGCTCATGATTTGGTAGATAAGAACAAATGAGCATCAGAATGCACATTCCTATATAGCTTGGGTTTGTGTTGTCACATTGGGACGTCCTTTCAATTAGCCTGGGGTACAACAGTGGTGATATGTCTTGTGAGACATAACTGTAAGTACTAGGATAATAGTATTATTAGCTATTTATTACGCGAATGCCCCATCCAACACATGATCTTACTATATAGCCTTTGGCTATTATGGAACTCCCATCATGGTGCTAGGATTTACTGGTGTGTGTTACTGTGTCAATACACTTTTACTTTGTCTCATAAAATCTTCCAAACTGCTATACTTGCCCCCATTTCACAGAAGAGCTGAAAACAGCAATGGAAAAGGCTACTGGGCAAGACAACACTTGGCTGAGTCTGTTTCAGTGGCTCAGATTTCTTGAGTAGGATCTGCAGCCCAACAGGCTGAGTAAGGAACTCTGAAAACTCATCCTCAAGAGCACACTGAGTTCTCAGGAATCAGGGTGGCTAAGGGCAGACAGCCTGCCAGGCTCCTGGGAATCAGGATGTTTTGTGGTTGGACCCTTGGACCTTAGGAAAATGTGGAGGAAGGCTGTCTACACCAAAACAGACATGGGAGTAGACAGGGTTCACCCCCGTCTTAAACAGTGTTACCCATCCCAATAATCACAGCTTATCTAGCTGGTTTATCACAGTTGTTCGTTGAATAAAAAGGGTAAAGAGTTAGATCTGAAAGAAAATCATTTTGATTTATGATTAACTTGATCAAGCTTGTTTATTCCCCCCCCCCAGGTGTTATTTCTGGTGTTATGACTGTAGCACATTAGTCTGCCAAATGTGATACACTATAACACTATAATGTCATCTTTCCCAGTAAACCCTTGCCACGTACATTAATAACTACACCCTCTTTTATAGACACAACTGAATTTGACTGAGGATGGGATTGTACAAGTGCTGGGAAACTCAGGTTTTGAGGAATTCTTCTAAGTGTCTATGAGTCCAGTAGTTATCTTCCTTGACCCATTTTGTTTTCAGTCTATGGCAAAAAGTACTTAGATGCCCAGTTTCCAACTTTCACACCCAGGTCCTCATTTTCTGAATCACATTATTATCAATCCTTGAAGAATGCAAAGAGTGAAAACCTGGAGTAGTTTCATCCACTATGACTTGTTAGTATCCGCAGTGCTTTGTTAGGATCTTTACAATGGAAAATAGTAGCCTTTATCTTTTTATTATTTTTTTATAATTTTTGTAAATTTTTATAAATTTTAAAATTTAAATTTGAAACAAGCTTGTTTTACATGTCAATCCTTGTTCCTAAACCTCCTGTCCTCCCCTATTCCCCCCACCAATCCCCATCCCATCCTCTTTCTGCTCCCCAGGGAGGGGAGGGTGAGGCCGTCCATGGGGAGTCTTCAAAGTCTGTCATATCATTTGGAGCAGAGCCTAGGCCCTCCCCAGTGTGTCTAGGCGGAGACAGCATCTCTCTATATGGAATAGGCTCCCAAAGTGCATTTGTATACTAGGGAAAATACTGATTCACTACCAGAGGCCCCATAGACTGCCCAGTCCTCCCAACTAACATCCGCATTCAGGGAGTCTGGGTTAGTTCTATGCTGGTTTCCAAGCTATCAGACTGGGGTCCATGAGTTCCCATTCGTTCAGGTCAGCTGTTTCTGTGAGTTTCTCCACTTTGGTTTTGACCCCATTGGTCATCACTTCTCCCTCTCTGCAACTAGATTCCAGGAATTCAGGTCAGTGCTTAGCTGTGGGTGTCTGCTTCTGCTTCCATCAGCTACTGGATGAAGGCTCTAGGTTGGCATATAAGATAATCATCAATCTCATTATTGGGGAAGGACATCTAAATAGCCTTTCCACTATAGTAGCCTTTTA